TTCAACTTCATTTAACCTGTATGTGGGCGACATTTCTAAAAAGGATGAAAGAAGCACTACTTCTCACATTCAGATCAATCTCTACAATCTAAAGATACAATTAAACATCTAACAAAACAATATACAAACAATGCAATATATTGTATGATGCATCGATGCCACAATCAAAACAGAAATAGTTCATTGACTCATGCACTTAGGTGACCAGTGATTCAAAATTCATCACTAACACCAAGTTTGTACTCCAAAAAAAACAAAAACACTGCAGTCAATCAAATCGACTACTCAGAGCAGCTCTTTGCCCCAGAGGCTTTCCCAGGCTGGAAATCTTTATAGAAAGAGTGCACATGTTTATCCCATGGAACAGGGAATGGATTTGGATTTCAGCCTTTCAATTAGTGCTGCATGCATTAGCCTCTGTATTTGCATTAGCCTCTGTATTTGCTCTTCTTGTTGTTGTCAGAACCAGAATACCACTGTGACTCACAGTGCCTGTGAACAATAGCTCTGAACCTTGTCTTATCCTCACCATCTCCAATATGCTTGAGCCCATTGTTACAGTCACTGTGTCAACCCATCTTACACAGGAGGGGGATCTTCCTCTCTTTCTCTGACCACCTTTCCCAGCATGGTGTCCTTTTCCAAAGATTAGCCCCTCCTGACAACAGGCCCAAAGTATGTGAGACAAAGTTTCACTACCCTGCCTCTAAAGAGCACTACTCAAATAAATGAAAGGAAAAAAAAATTCTCTTTACGTAGCCAATAATTACTATAGTGGACTATACAAACAGAGCAGCCAGCAAAGCAGTCTGAAATATTAGTTCACTGAATCCTGAGAGAGCTGATGCCATGAAACGTCAGGTTCCTATAAACCAGGACAGCGTGCTACAACATGCAGCCCCCAGACCTGGAGAAATAGTAGTTGGCAGGTAAGTAATAGAAACACAAATTCTCCAGCTCTATCTCAAGCATTCTGAATCAGATGTGGTTCAGATGATTCCAATGAAACCCTGAAGTTCAGAAGCTTGCCTGAAGAATATCTTGACCTGAAAGAGAGCTGGAGTCTAGAATGACAGGGGCTCATTAGCAATTTTCTTCAAAACAGGGTCATGCAATACTCACTGGCACAGGCAATAGTTGCTGGACATCCGAATGATGCAATAGGCCCTTTTAGTTTATAGCAAATTAATTTGAGACAGTGACTAAAAGCAGTCTGGATATTAAAATTACTAAGTACTCCATTAAGGCCTAACTATGTTCTCATTTCTATGTTTAGTTCCTAAAGGCCACCATAAAAGGAGGCCAGCAAAAGTCTTATGACATCAGACAGAGCACAAGACTGTACACATGTGCAAAAGGGAAAAGGGGCTGGGATCAGGAGAAAAATGGAGACAGAGGAGGAAAAAAATCAAGACCAAAAACCAAAATTGTAGGAGGATAATCTCATCCTCAAATGTAACTCTGACTCATTTATACGGTCAACAAAAATGACTCATTCTGGGTGCTTATGTTCCTTTCTCTCTAATGTCAGACATTATCATTTTATAAGTAAAAATTTACAGGGGGCAGGCCATTGAGATTAAGCAAATAAAAAGAGCAATAGACCGAAATGTATAATTTTTTTGCTTCTTGACTAAAATTCAAGTGAAAAGAATAGAAAATCTGTGTCCAGCCAAACTATATTTCACAAGAGAATAGCTACACAAAGCCACAGCTATGCACCAGCGTTACACAGCTCCAAAACCATCCATGACGAGTCAGCCTGGAAACACTGTAAAAGCACATTTTTCTAGGAAGATACAAAAGGTTCCCTAAAATTTCATATTTATGTTTGATTTTCCTTTCTCCTTTTTCAAGAATCTCAGTTTACTAAGGGATCATCTCACTGAAAATTATAAACAGTAATCACTTCTAATGAAATTAAATTATAGAAATAATCTTAACGACCCAGATATTCACACAACTGTTTAAAAATTGTTTTCCTGACCCTTCCCTGCATTACTGTGGGAACTTCGAAAGGTGATAGGGTTACAAAAAAAACCAAAACAGCTACAGCACTAAACTCTAATTGTGATCAGAGGCCTAGGACAGTATACATACAGTGTCACAAAACACATGAAACAAAAACTCACAGGACTGAATAAAAGACTCACCAATCAGAGATGTCAAACTCCCAAAACACACTAGTGAAAAATCAGAACCCCAAAAAATGCCCAGAGTTACAGGAGTTGAGAGAGAAAGGATCTCTACTTAGAACAAAACTATGAATCTGGACTTGACCCTCCTACACTCTTGAGGAAACAGATGTGCTATACAGCATTCACTTTTGGTATCTGTTTTACACCAGCCCTAGGAAACCAAGACATTAAGTACAACTGCCACTGTTCACAGACAGTACTAATGGGAATACAGAAAAACGTAAGGAAGCTAAAAAAACAAGGTCTTCCAACTAATAAATGAGTTCAAGCAAGACTGTAGGATTCAAAGTCAATATAAAAGCCAAATTGTATTTCTACTCACTAGTAACAAAACAAACAAACAAACAAAAAAACCAGAAAATTGAGATACTTTAAATATCTCTTCACACTGGCAACCAAGTGTGACATCACTGTGTTGTTGTTGTTGTTAGGTGCCTGTGAGTGGTTTGTGACTCATATGGACCCTATGTACAAGAGCCCTAAACCCTGCTCTATCCTGTGCCAATCTCATTGTCCCCAAAACATTACTCTCACTACTCCAATCCTAAATCAATCCTCTCATCAAGGGTCTTCCTCTCCTGCACTGTTCCTCCACTCCCCCAAATATGATGTCCCTCTGAAAGGACTGGTCCTTCCTTGCAACATGCCCAAAGTATGTTAGACAAAGTTTCAGAATCCTTGCCTCCAAGAAGCAGTCCGGCTTCGCCCTCTCCAGGACAAACCTTTTGTTCTCCTAACAGTCCATGGTATATTCAACACTTTTCTCCAGCACCACAGCTCAAAGGCATCAATTGTCTATCATCCCTAGTGACTCACTCTAGTCCAGCTCTGTGATGCATAGCACACAATTGCAAAAACTCTAGCCTGGATCAGATGCACCTTAGTCTCCTGCCTGGCACTGTTGCTCTGCAGTACTCTGAAGAGGTCCTTGACATCTGACTTTCCCAATGTAATTCGTCTCCTGATTTCCTGGCTGCTGTTACCAAGAGTGTTGACTGTGGAACCAAGTAAACTAAAACTGTTAACTATCTCAATCTCTTCACCATCCATACGGATGCTGCCAATTAGCCTCTCTCAGTGGTGAGAATCTTTGTTTTCTTGATGTTGAGCGTCAATCCATATTGAAGGCTGCAGTCCTTGACCTTCTACAGCAAGTGCTTAACGTCCTCCCAGTTTCAGCAGGCAGGGTTGTGTTATCTGCTTAACACAGGCTGTTGATGAATCTTCCTCCAATCCTGATGCCACATTCCTTCTTGTACAGCCCAGCGTCCTAGATGATCTGTTCTGCATACAGATTGAAAAGGTATGGAGACAGAATACATCGCTGAAGGAGTCCCTTCCCAATTTTGAACCATGCAGTGTTCCCTTGCTCTGTTCTAATGACTGCCTCCTGTTCGAAGCACAGGTTTTGCGTTAAGCACTATCAAGTGTTCTGGGATTCCCATTCTTCTCAGAATCAACCACAGCTTGTTGTGATCCACACAGTGAAAAGCTTTTGCATAGTCAATGAGGCACAGATAGACATTCCTCTGGTACTCACTGTTTTCTCCCAAGATCCATCTAACATCAGCTATAATATCCCTAGTACCACAACCTCTTCTAAATCCAGCCTGCACATCTGGCAGTTCTCTGTTGACATGTTGGGTAATTTTCAGCAGAATCTTGCTTGCATGTGATATTAATGATATTGTTCTATAATTTCCACACTATCAGGTCACCTTTCTCTGATATCTATCTCTTGCAGTCAGTTGGCCAGCTGGCTGTCCTCCAGATTTCTTGACACAACATAGTACGCACATCCAGGGCAGCATCTGTTTGTTAAAATAAATCAATTGATATGCTGTCAACTCCTGGGGCTTTGTTTTTTGCCAATTCCTTCAGAGCAACTTGAACTTCACTTCGTCCTTCATCACCATAGGCTCTTGCTCATGTTATTTCATTAAATTCTTCTGTGTCAGCCAATTCCTTCTGATACAGTGACTCTGTATATTCCTTCCATCTTCTTTTAATGCTTCTTGGATCATTTAACACTCTACCAAAAGCATCCTTATGTATGGTCACTCATGGCTTGATTTTGTTTTTCAACTCCTTCAGCTTAAGAAATGCTGAGTGAGTTCAGCCCTTTTGATTTTCTAACTCCATTTCTTTGCACATTTCATTATAGTATCTTGCTTTGTTGCCCCAAACTGCCCTTTGAAATTTTCTGTTCAACTCTTTAATTTCTTGATTTCTTCCTTTAGCTTTGGCCTCTCAGTGCTCTAATGCAATATTCAGAGTCTCATCTCATTACAAAAAATTTTTAAAAACTTTGTGATGACTGAAAATTAATATTGTTAAGATAAGTTAAAGGAAATATAAAATAAACAGACCATGTTTATGAACTAGGATAATATTAAGATGGAAATTCTTCACAAATGGAGCAATCTCAATCAAAATTCTAGCAAATAAATTTTTAAAAGCCTAAAGCCAAAATCACCAGAAACCTCAAACTCAGTGTCTCGAAGGAGAACAGACCTACAGCTGATCCAATCTCAAAGGAAGATCCCTGGTGGATCTGATGAACACAACTCCCTACAGACTAGGCTCCCAGAGCTCTCTAAAGAGGACCTAGAACAGACAAAGCACACTTCAAAAGGAAGAACAAAGTCAAAGGAATTAATACTGGAGTGGGCACGGGGGTTTGCTCCATCTCCACCTCACACACCAGTTTCTCTCAAATAGCAATAACCTATCTCTCAGTCACTGAAACCTTCCACCTAAGAACATACAAGATAAAACCAGAAGTAGCAATTTAACACTCACCTGCCTTCTTTAATCTTGTCTACATTTCCTCTGCATACGTAGTTTTCAATATAACCATCACTGCAGTTGATCTTTGACCAATCAGGGTCACAAACATCCAAAAAGTGAGGCCGCAGTCTGCCTATTGAATACTTGGCAATGTCCGTCAAGGACTGACTAGCAGCTGCACCAAATAGAAAAGTTCCCATGGATTTGTAAATACAGGCTATGTAGCTGTTTCCCACAAAGGAATCTGAGTGCAAAAGCTTATGGTAAACAGATAATACTTCTCCAGTAATAATCTAGAAAAGAAACAGAAAAATAATTTGTTAAAGAAGCAACCAAGTATTTGAAACAAAATAAAATATACAATCATAATTCATAATTTTAAAATGCTCAATTTAAAGACACTATTTTAATTATTAAACTAATACATAAATTAACATTTTTTTAATTTAAAAAATTAAAAAATACTTTTTTTCTTTACAAGTAGAGGCTAAACAGGATATATTTAATCTAAATAACACATAAAGCAGCAGAGTAAACATGGCAGCTGCTTATAAGGCCATTGTTGAGCCAAAGTCATTTCCAAGTTCACCTTAAACAGTAAGAATGTCTTTCTTTTCTTGTATTCTAACAGGTGATCTTCGGAAGTAGACAGTGCTGTATCATGGAGGACAGAAACCATGATTTATTCAAAGATCACAAACTTCCCCAATAAGAATATGTCTTATATAAGTACTTTCAGCTGACCATCACTATTTTGATAATACAGTTTTGTAAAGAGAAAAAAAAATATAAATGTAGGTATACAATGCTGATGTAAACAGTTGAAGAGGCAGTGTCCACCAACCCGGCTTTTCCAAGAGATCTTAAACTAGGCAACCTTTGAAAGTCTCATTAAAAGAAGTGGTGCTTCACATTTCAAGTAACTCTTTACTTTTCATTAGCTTTTTGAAAAAGTGAAGTCAAATAAAAACTTCTCGTAAACAACTATGTTGAGAACTTTCCTAGATTCTAATAGCACGTGTGTGTGTGTGTGTGTGTGTGTGTGTGTACATGTTCCTACCTACAAAGTGGTGAAAGGGGATGCTGCTGTTGTTATGTATCGTTCAGACACCACCAAGTCATACCTAACCCTCCAGTAGATTTTCAGAGGCTGTAAGTTGTATAGGAGGATATTGTGCATCTTTCTCCCATAAAACTGATCTGAGGATTCGAACTGTTTGCCTCTGGGTTGGCAGCTCTCAACTCCTCACCACTAGGCCATCAATGAAGGTGATAATTTTTCTTTTTTAAAAAATAGCACTATTATTAATTATCTAGTAATACAACTAATAATAGCAACAACTATAAAGATCACACAGGACCAAGCACTGCTTTGTTCTGTTGTGCACAGGGCTACTATGAGTCAGAATGTACTTTAGGGGCCTAATAATAAGAAGCTTCCCTGTAATCCCAAAAGCACGTGGTTAGAATCTCCCCCAGCTGCTCCACAGTAAAAGATGAGCCATTTCCTCCCATGCAATTTACTACCTCTGAAAACCCCCTGGAGGGTCAGCTCTTAGTTAGTTCCAACTTGATAGCACACACACAACAAGAGAACAGGTCTGTCCTGGAGAAAGTGAAACCAGGTTGCTCCCTGGAGCATGTATTTTGAAACTCTGTCTAATGTACTTTGGGCATATTATCAGGAGGGGGCGGTCCTTGGAGGACATCATACATAGAAGGATAGATGGTCAGCACAAGAGACGAAGCCCCAGGATGGGATGGATTGAGTTGGTTCCTTTGGCTCAGGAAAGGGCTGGGTTCAGAGCTGTTTTTCATAGGTTTGCTATGAGTCATAATCAACAGAAAATTTACAAATACAAAATTTAAAATACAAAAATTTTAGAGGAAAAAGAAGTTCAAGGATATTTTCCGAGAAATAAATTACTTTATGTAGGCTTCAATAATGTAATGTGTTTAAAAGGCATAAAAAATGTCCAAGTGTATAAAACCAGTATCTTGAGAAATTAGAAGAATATTGATTTTAAAATTATATTTGGTGATAAAAGCCATACTCTAGCTTCCTGAGTCCAAAATAAATACAGAACGGACTATTAGTTAACTTGTTGGGTGCTTGGGGAAGAGCACAGAACATGGAAGTAATGAACTTAAACTTCTAATACGTACTAGTTTTTCTGCTTCACCTTATTTTTCCAAAACCAAGTTAGCAATGCATTAAAACACTCTCACGGATATGAATACTTTTATCTAGCTGTCTCCAGTGTGAGCCATACCAAATTAAATAAAATATTGCCTCCTAAAAGGAATTGATACCAAAAATTCTTTCAGCATCCTAATCAGAACGTGTTAACTTGACAAGTAGAGTGTTAATTCTTCAAAAGTAAGAGTGATGTCTTAATTAACAGAAAGCTGCTCCACCACACTGACCTAGCAAAGAATAAATGGTGTTGCCTTCTAGGTAAAAGGCATATAAAATTGCTTAAATGTCCATCTAAACAGAAATATAGGCTCCCACTATGAAACTTAATAGGAATGCAGATCCTTTTCTGAAGACAGATCCTATGGAAGGCAGAAAGCACATGTATTTCGAGGAATGCCAACCCTCCACAATTAGCATGACAGATGTCATCCCAAATTCTTTTTGGTACAGTGACTCTATTCCTTCCATCTTCTTTTTATGTTTTCTGGAGCAGTCAAGATTTTGCCTCTGGCATCTCTCCGTCTTGCAACTCAAGGCTTGAATTGGCTCTTCAGTTCTTTCAGCTTGAGAAATGCTGAGTAAGTTCTTCTGACTCCACTTCTTTGCACATTCCATTATAATGCTGTGCTTCTCGAGCGGCCCTTCAAAATCTTTGATTCAGTTCTTTTACTTTTACATCTCTTCTCTTTGTTTTAGCTTCTCAATGCTCTAACACAATTTTCATAGATTTTTCTGACATCCACTTTGGTCTCTCTTTTGCTCTTGTATGAAATCCTTGATTTCATCCCACAGCTTCTCTGTTCTTTGACCTCTGTTCAAGCCCTCACACTGTTCTTAAGATTATTATTCTTTTTTTTTTTTTTTTTTAATTCAGGTAGGACAGATTCAAGGACGTATTTTAGATTTGTTGAACCTGGCCTGGTTCTGGCTGCTGACAGAATTCTCCAATGATTCTTTCCACAAATTCTTTAACCATGGCACTTGGTTTAGGCAATGGTCTTTCCGCTATGCTTCTGAGAGCTGGACAACAAATAAGCATAAGAGAAGAACTATGCCTTTGGGCTGTGGTGTTGGACAAGAGTATTGGCGATCTTGTTGAGTGCCAAAAGAACAAAGAGAATTGTCTTGGAAAAAGTACAGCCAGAATGTTTCTTGAAAGCAAGGATGACAAAGCTTCCTCTCTCATACTTTGGACATGTTGCTAGAGGAACATTCCTTGGATAGGGATATCATGCTTGGGAAGGTGGAGAGTCAGTGAAACAGAGAAAGACCCTCAATTACATAGACTGAAATGGTGGCTATAGCATTGGGCTCAAGTGTATCACAGATAATGAGGATGGCACAGAGTAGGACTGAATTCAGATCTCTTGTCCACACGGTTGCTGTTAGTTGTACTAAACTTGATGATGCATAACAACAAAGTGACACTCTGATAGAAACAGTCTCCTCCCATGTGATTTACAGCCTCTGAAAACCACGGTGGGAAGGTCAGCTCTGATTTGGTTCTGAAGCAATGGCATTAAGTGGGTGTGTATCACATCCTGCACCCCCACTATCACTGCCTCAAGTGGTCCTGTCTGAAAGCATGAATTAACTCCATCTGTTGAAATGGTCCACTAATGAACTTCTTGATAGAATGGTAACCAGACACACGTTTCCTCACCTATGGAGTTCATCTTTGAGGACTCCACAGCAAGTACCTTAATCATGATTTTAGCAGGTGAAAAGTGATTTTAACCATGCTTTTAGCAGCTGTCCCAAGTGTTCTTGTTTAACTACTCAACTATTTTCCATAAACTGCTAGTTATCCTTATGTGCATTCCTAGTCATAATCACCATTGTTGAGAGTCACTCAAACATGGCTTCTTTCCACCGACGGCCGGTTCATGCAGAGCTTTAAACACAAAATTGCACTGCCAGCACACTGGTTTCTAGTCACAGCAACTTTCCATTGGGGTTTCTCAGATGTAAACAGTTTGTTCTTTTTAATGAAGCCAATATTCTTATTATTTTGACTTTTATTAAATATAAACTCTCACAGGCTCTTCAAATAATAAAAAATTTCAAGCTAATGAAATCTAACTAAGAGGCTTTATTAAATAAGCTTTTTGTCAGGCCTTGCCTTCTGATTTTTGTAGTCCTGCTTGAATGGCATTCTTTTTATCATATCCCCCCCCCCAAAAAAAAGGAGACAAGTATTTCTAGCAGTGTTTATTTGTACTCTTGAATTTTGTCTATTTGCAACTAACAGCCCTAATAAAAATGTTCTATTTAAATAGTAATCTCTCTGAAACACATATACTTTAAAAAAAATAACTCAAAACTTCCTCCTAAATCAAAGAACCATGGACTTGGCTTGCTTTCTTATAATAGTAAGAACTCAGTAAAAGATTTGTCTACATCAAAAGATTCCACTGTTTTTTTTAAAAGACTGTTAATTAAATTAAATCATAGAATTTCTGCATTAAGAAATTAAAAAGACAATATTCATCTAGTCCAGACACTGAAGTCTTCTCCCTGAAGCCACATCTATTCACGTATTTCCTGCTGAAATACTGAAAAGAATATGGTTCAAGACTCAGCCTTGTCTTCAATACCAGCAAATATTCTTTTGGGTTTATTGCTAAATACATGCTTTCTCCTTCCATTTATGGCACGCACTTTAAATGCTTTAAAGTAACCACAAATAAATGAAATTTTAACATTAGTTAGAAATTTTCTTTTCTGTATTACAGTGGTTTAAGAGGCCTGAGACATTCACACAAAGAGAATGAATTCTTATACAATTATATTCTATATATAAACTATGCTAGAAATATATTGCTATAACATTCAGTTATCCACTATACTAATACTTCCAAACAATGGTATTAAGAGTTCTCAATGTCACAGTAATATAATAAATTATCATAAAATATATTTTATAAGGTTATTCAGATATACATTTATACTCTTTTTGTCACAAGCAGTTAAAATTATCTTGCTTAAATAACATTTTTACTTAAAGGCTGAAAAAAATAGACATTGTTTCAGGTTATACATTTAATCATTAATATCTTAACAGGAAAAAAAATTAAATCACCCAAAATCAATAAACTTGGAAAAGCGGATTTAACTTACAACGATAATACTGAATGGAATGATTATTCCACCTAATAACGCATAGGGTATGGTGTCTTCTTTGTAAGGGTACTTGATGGAATCATCATTACAGAACACTCCTCGATTGAAGGGGGTATGCCTTGAAGTAAGAATTGCAAAAGGCAATCCAGCTAGCAAAAGGAATAAATGAAATATCATTAAAAATGAAATATAACTAATTAGTGGCAATAATTACCCCCAGAGACGGTATTATAAGATGCAGTTGCCATGGAAATAAATGAGAACATGTAAAAGGGAAATGCAGAAAATGCATGCGAAAGTAAGAAAGATTATAGTTAGGGTAAAGAGATTTCTTTCAAAAGGAATCAAAACTTCCAAACCGTCTATTAACCAGTTTAACCAAGAGCACCTCTACTCATTGCTTCTATTCAAGTACACTAAATGAATTTTAGAAGAATCTCTTTCCTGCTTATGCTGCAATTTAACCACACAGTGTTTTAACACTATTCTCAAGCAAATTCATTAAGGCTTTGTTTCATGGAACATCCCTGTAATGACAACGTTTTTAGGTCATAATCACTGGTTAAGCGAACAGAGCACCTAAAGAAAGCGTTAGCCACTCCTTCCAAAAACAGCCTTCGGGTTGTGGTAAAGAGGTGTCTGAACTTAAATAAAGTTTCTGGAGAAAAGATTAATAAGAGAGTTAATCAGAAGACTACTTCACAGATGTTTAGGGCTTTATGTTTTCAATCTTAAACATTTCCCCACAGATCGTGGATTGCATCTCAAAATCAAAATTTAACCACTGGGTCAATGAGCAGCAGCATCAAGAAAGGTGGACAAAAGATGGACGTTGTTAATTATTTCATCTTGCTTGGATCCACAATAAATACTCTTTGTAATCACACTAAAAATATAAAGAAAATATTTTCCTAAACAGTCCTGCAAACAAGTTGTTATCTACAACGCACAGTGTCTGCCTCTTACATTTAGATTACAGAAGATGTTGTTGTTGTTATGTGCTGTCGAGTCATTTGCGACTCATAGCGACCCTATGTACAAAAGCCCTAAACTGTGCTCTATCCTGTGCCAATCTCACTGCCTCTGACA